TTTGTTGCAGCCCAGATTCATCCCTGTGGCCTGGATCCGGTCTGGGAGTAGAGGTGAGTTTGACACCCATGGTGTATATTAAAAGCCTTTATTCGAAATGATCTATTTGCCTCTTTTCAAGGTAAGTTTATATCTTTGATTCTCGCCATCCTCCCTGCATTACCTAGGGTTTGTTAAGGGCTGTTATGGTATTAGGAATTTGAAGAGGTTTTCTGAGTTTGGTGATGTTTAAAACTTCAAATTGGTAATTGGCCTCTTTTGGTATGTCTACAGAGCTCAGTGCTGTTCTATGTAGAAGTACAAAAGCTGGCTTCAGGACTAGCAGCAGCCTTAACATAACCTTCTGCCCAGGCTAATTACAGTGGAGAAACAGGGCTGCATAGTCTGGGCAGAGTGGTGAGCTTACACAGCTCTGCAGCTTCTAATAGTTGAACTACCTTTTGTATCACTTTTGCTGCTCGAGAGTGCATTGCCTACACTGTAGTCTTCAGTAAGACATTCCCTGCAGGGTGGAGTGTCTTCTTAGCAATACTAGCAGACTGTAGAGTGGGAATTACTAAATCAATGGAATGAATAGGGATGGAATTCAATTTTCCCTCAAATTGGTGAGTTTCATTTTCTGTAAGTACAAACCTGACACATGATGTTATCAATGCATGGCATAAAGGAGTATGCATGTAGGAGGGTGATATAGCTTGGCATGAAACATTTAACAGCTTGAATGCTACAGGGTGTATAGGTCTGAAGCAGTAGGATGGTAACATCTGTGTAGATGTTGGGATAAACTCCAGTGACCTTGCAGATGTATCTTGTAAGACTTGCTATTCTGAGAAGGAAAGTTATACTGCACTTGCAAGCAGGTACTCTACCTGTTTTTGTGTTTTTTTCTGTCTATCTATTTCCCTTTTCTCCCATAAAAGATACAGGGAATACTTACCTTACCACCTGCAGCTTATCTGTAGAATACTTGTGTGACAGGGACAGGGTCCCAACCCCTACCACACTCCTGTGGAAACAGTCCTGCGGGTGGGGAACTTACCCAACTGGGTCCATACACGCGGCATGGCTCAGACGTCTGGGGGAGCACAGCTGCCAGCAATTCCAGGAGCACAAGAACCCATGCTTTGGGAAACTGGACCTGAATGGCTGGTAGCAAGAGGCTGGCAGTTTAAAGGGAGAATGCCAAGGAGAGTTCAGCATTTGGCATCCCCAGCAAGAAAACCTGACTGGAGGCTACAGGAGGGGGAAAACCCCCGAAGAAGAAGCTCAGCATGCCGGACCCTCAGGATCTGTGGAGACTGGGACAAGCCCCGAGGACAGATTGATTTCTAGCCCCGGAAAGATAAGTTAACGGAGATAAGGGGAATGGACAGAGATCCCATCCCCAGAGAAACCTGAGCTGATACCCCAGGGGAAGAATGCCTGTGGGAAGTGGTTGAGGTAAATCTGCTGAGGAAGGAAGGAGTAGGAGAGAACAAAAGCAAACTGGTTTGCTGACAGAAATGGGGTATGAGGAGACCCCTGAAGCTGCCAGTATAAAGAAACATGCGTCCTGCTAGTGAATGAAGAACCAAGCAGAGACATGCTGCCTGTGGCAGAGTAGACCCAGGAAAGGGAGAAGAAACTTGGGGGAGGTACCTGTAAATTTTGAGTTATGAAGGAATAGAGGGAGAGAGGGACCCAGCTAAGGAGCACTACCTTTGATTTAAATCCTTATGCTCTGAGGAGGAGAATAATAGAAGAAAAAAAGGGGAGGGGAAGAACCACTTGCAGAAAGATTTGATTTAAAGTTAAGAGTACAGCTGTCTCCAAGCCACTGAAAAGGATAATTGAAGAGGTCAGAGGTGGAAGTCCTGGGACCTTCAAGGGAAGAACTCTGAGGGATTTAATGGAGATAATTCTTATTTGATTTGATGAGAGCAATCATAGAGCAATGGGGCTAGTGAACAAAGAGAACAAGCTATTGCAAGCTGAAGAATGGGAGAGAGAGAGAGAGAGGCCAGAATAGTCTCCGTTCACCACCCATGGAGAACGGTACCATCCACCTGAGAGGAAAGGGGCAGAGTGTAGCGGAGGTTGGAGCCCTGCAGAAGATCCACAATGGGATCAGACTGACTGGCAAGCCAGAACACTCATCCTCCTGTACATACATTTTCCATCAAGACGTGGTAGGAAATTGTAGGGGCTACGTTGTGGTCTGAATAACCCAGCGCAGTTCTAAAGTGAGAGAATATGACTCGCTCACAACTTGGTTCTCCATTTTGTCCTATGAGAGGACGACAAAAAGTGGGAGTTTTAGTTTTGAGTCCTTATTCCACAGTCAAGATTGCCTTACTGAAAAGACGTGTGGCTGTCAGTGTCTCATTCCTTTTGATACTTCCAGATGATCCTATGCCAACAAAGCTATTTGGCACCACTGCCAGTGGATCTGGCATCACATCCTTCTTCTGAGATGCACAATGTGTAAGGTTATTTCTCCAGTGTAATTAACACATTTAAAATGAATTTCAGGGGTTCTTTTCAGACAAACGCAGGTTGTGATTCCAAATGATTTGGAGGATACATGCTTAGACTTAAACATTACAAGCAAATGACTGTTTTTTTTAAGTGAATGTTTGATAATCACCATCACCTACATTTGTGATGCATGCCAAGACTTAAGTTCATGGTTCTGGGTTGTCCTGCTACAGCCAGTGACCTTCAAAGCACTTAAAGCTGTGTAAACATTACAAAGACACATCTCCTGGTTCTGTCATCATCAGACAGAGGAGAAAAGCAGAATTCTGAGGGTCTGAACTTGGGTCTTTGCAGGTAGATGGGCTGCATTTAAATGCTTGAATTCTGCCTTTTTATTTCATACACTGAAATATACTCAGAAGTCCTGACCTGCAACATCCTGAAGTGTTGCCTGTTTCACCTTGACAAAGTTAGGTTCTTATGTCTCCTTTCCACTCCTCTATCCTTAATAAAAATTCTCCCTATCCTTAATAAAAATGCTTTGCAGAGGTACCTTTCAGGTGCACCCTCTTCTTTCTCTAATCCTGCCTCGGGCACTACATGTGCTGTGTATAACGATGTTTTGCCATTGGATATGCTTTTTTTGATTGGCATTCTTCCATTTGCCTATATCAAAGGTGGCCTGCAGACCAGATACAGCCTGTGGAGCCATATCATCTGGCCTGAAGCCTCACGGGTCAGATGATGTGGCTCTGCACTCCAGACCAGACCTGTGCCTCTCTTCTGGCCCATGGAGCCAGATGGAGATGAACACTACTGACCTATATCATAGACAGGGAAGGA